CCGAGCGCCGGAGAGCCCGTGCTCCGCGGTAAGAGAAGCCACCGCAATGGGAAGCCCGCGCACCGCAGCAAAGAGTAGCCCCCGCTCGCCGCAACTAGAGAAAGCCCACGCGCAGCAACGAAGACCCAATGCAGCCAAAAAATAATTTAAAAATAAAAAATAAATAAAATGGGTCCTTGAAATAATGAGACTTAACACTATAATCAATAAACTGATAAAAAAAAAAAAAAAGGAAGGAAGGAAGGGAGGGAGGGAGGAAAGGAAAGAAAGAAATGAGTTTCTGAAAAATTGCCCTGGCAGCCCTGGTCCACTCCAGGCATTGACTAAAGGGAGACACCACAGACAGGCCAGGACACTGTCACATTCCTGCAGGAAAAGGTGACAGGCCTGACCTGGGAGGAGGGGGAGATAAAAGGATTTAGAGCTCTTTAAGAAGCCGGTCAGAGGACTTGGTGACAGACACCGGAGCACGGAACAACCAGGACCCTTCTGGTAACAGAAACCCCATGAACGTGACGGGTTTGTTTCATTCCAGGCAAGGAAGAAGGCGAAGGCCCTGCTCTTTTTTTTTTTCTTCCGGTTGACCAAGTCCCACGGCTTGCAGGATCCTAATTCCCAACCAGGGATGGAGTCCAGTGAGAGCACCAAGTCCTAACCACTGGACCGCCAGGGAATTCCCAGGGCCCTTGTCTTAAGAAGGATTTGACTCTACGGGGAGAGGATGCCCTCCCTCTTCTCGCTGGCCAGGATTGTGTCAAAGGGTCACCCATAGCTGCATGGAAGTCTGAGTGATTTCAGTGGAGTTGATTGGTACCCTGGACAAAATCAGAGTTCAGTTAGGGGGCAGGGGCAGGTGAGTACCGGGTGAGCACGAAGTGGCGTCAGGGGGACGCCCCGGGTTTGACAAGCCCATCTGAGAGGTGCCGTGGCCATCGGGGAAGATGGGCAGTTAGACACCTCCACCTGAAGCTTGGGTGAGGTCACTGGCCTGAAGCCATGAATTCAGGCTTGCCAGCTCATCATGAAGGATGACCTTCTACAAACTTCCCAGCCCATTTTGTGACTCTGCCCCATAGACCTCCCAAAGTAAGAATGGGACGTCACATCAGGCTTCCAAAGGAGGAATCCCACTGCCTCCACGCTGGGATGGTCTCTATGTGCGAACCTTGGCCCACCACGAGCTCATCACCTCTTTGGGGAAAGAGCTGGGCCTCCTTCCTGGTCACCCCCGGCAGTTCACACTGTGGGGACGTGAGATGAGCCTCTGCCCACCCTGGATTCCAGGACTTGGCATCCGTCTCTGCCCACTGTGCGTTGACCTTGGCGGGCTGGGAGGCCAGGAAGGTCTCTTACCCCCTCCCCCACCAGCAGTCGGGATCCTCATCTGTAATCAGGGGCTGGCTTCCTGCCTCATTGTTAACTATCCTTCTTTATTATACCGAGAAGTGTCTTCCTCAGTGATTTGCTTGTCCGCACAACCAGAGCCGGGCCTGGAACGTTGTTGGCAGTGGCCTGCCTGTGTTCTCTGGCAGGCCCACGGCAGCCTCTCCCCGGAGCCCCGGGGACCCAAGAGCAGCCCAGGCAAGGCTGTCTTGACTGCCCTTCACGTCCTCTCTGGCCTCACTGGCCACAGTGGCTTCCTTTTTTTTTTTTTTTTTTTTTTTTGCGGTATGCGGGCCTCTCACTGCTGTGGCCTCTCCCATTGCGGAACACAGGCTCGGGACGCGCAGGCTCAGCGGCTATGGCTCACGGGCCCAGCCGCTCCGCGGCATGTGGGATCTTCCTGGACCGGGGCACGAACCCGCGTCCCCTGCATCGGCAGGCGGACTCTCAACCACTGCGCCACCAGGGAAGCCCCACAGTGGCTTTCTTGACCAGGGAACTCTTCTTAAAGGAAGGCATTTCGCAACTCCGTAGCATTCTGTGCCTGCAAAACCTCTTCTTCCTCCCTCCTCTTGAGGCTGTGCTCAGGCCGCACCCCCAGGGCCCTCCCCCTCCCAGGTGCCCTCGTTTCTCCCCCGGGCCATCTCCACCTCGCTGCCCCTCAGCCCAGACCTCTCTCCTGAGCTCCAGGCCCCCTGCGAGAGCCTGAGCCCTCACAGGCCCCTCCACCTCCACTGACCTCGCCCCCAGACTCACCTACTCTTCTGCCCGCTTCTCTCTGCCTGAGGTAGGCCCCCCAGACGTCAGCTCCTGGGGACCCCCGTTAACTCTAAAGGCTCAGCGCAGACACCCCCTCCCGTGTGAAGCCAGGTGGTGGCGCCTTTCTGTCTCTAGAACCTTGGACTCACCACCACGAGAGCACCTGTTGTGGTCTTAACTGTACCCGTCTGCTTCTCCCCAGACTGAGCACAGCGGGGTAGGAGCTGCACTGAATGATCTCTGTAATCTCCTGTGGGAGATGCGAGGAACGAATCAGTGAACGGATGAACAGTGAATGAACAGTCAGGAGACTGGATCTATGCAGACACAGGCGCATCCCCAGCCACACGTCTCCAAGCGGCTGGGGAAGGTCACAGTCTACACGGGTCTCCAGTAGTGGGACAGGTCCTATCTCCAGCGGGAGAGCGGGGGACGGTCGGTGAACATTACTCCTGGAACATGGAGGAACAGCCCTGCGTGGTCACACACTGACCTTGAGATAGATTGGACGTGGTGAATAAAGGCAGGGTCTCCCAAAGGTCACACACATACACTTATGGTCTCCATCAGGTACGTTCCCTGGTCTCTCGGCCCTTTCTGGAAGCCACCGTGGTGTGCACAGTCACTGGTTCCAGTTCCTAGAAACCATCCCTCTTCTCCTTGGAAGCTATATCCAAATTTTTGTTCAGGTGTCCTCTCTCCCCAGCCCCCCAGCCCAACCCCACCTCCATCTCAAGGCCTTGTAAGTTTGGGGCCAATCCTGAGGTCCCACCCCTGGCCACACGGCTGATTCAGCACTGAGGACCTGACCCAGTTCTGGCCAATGAGACAAAGGAGCTTTGCTGAGGTGCTTCTGGGAAGGAAGTCCCCCGCCGCTCTGGGTGGGCTGTGCAGACATCAAACCTGAAACCGTTGAGGACGCAGCCCAAAGATGAAGCTGACGCTCAGGGCACAGGGGAGCCGGGAACATCTCGGAGGGCCTGAGCTGCAGCCCAACTGCCCACCCACCTCAGGCGCTGAAGACTCTACCAGCTGAGGTTTGCTGAGCCAACAAACCCAACGTTCGGTCACAGAGTCCCTGCACAGAGCCTGGTGTTTGGGGTGGTGAGGCTAGAGGTGTGAACACTTGAATTCCCAGAGGCAGAGCCGAGGGTCTGCAGGCCAGTGGAACCAAGAGAAGCAATGCCAGCCTGGTTCCCAAATCCAACCGAGGAGGAAAAACAGGAGGCCAGCCGGCAGGCTGGACAGCGTCCGAGTCACTGTGGAAGGCCTCCTGGGGAGCCGGCCGGAAGGAGGGGAGGCCAGGGGAGTCCATGAGATGAGCCAGGGGCGTCTGTGGCCTCGAGGATGGGGAGGGGAGGCCGACAAGGCGTGAGCTGACTGGCTCTGAGCTCTCTAGGACTGACGCACACCTGGAGATGTCCCAGCTCCCAGACACTCGGCGCAGCCCAGGCCTTGAGCTAGCTACTTATTCGCTTGGGCTGGAGCTGTCCCTGCAGGGCCGGCTCCCTCCCCACTCCCACGAGGAGCTCCCTGCAGGCCCCACCCGACACAAAGCAGGGCTCTTCCTGCCAAAGTGCCCCAGCTGCAAGGGAGGGAACCCCCTTGAGGGTCAGCCACCAGCTGATACCTCTCTGAATCTCACCTTGTGGGAAACCTAACGCAAATACTTTCTCCTGAATAATATCTTTAAATTTCTCATCATGAAATAAAAGTGAAGCCTCTCGTGTTGGCACCGTGGCTGCAGGCCTCCACAGACCCCAGGGCACACACAGCCCAGGTTTGGAAGCTCAGTGGAGCTCGCCTGGTCTGGGCTTCAAGCTTGGCTCCAACAACAATGATCTGAGTGGCTTTGGGCAAGAGAATTAACCTGTCAACCTGGAAGAGAGGGAGGGAGGGAAGGAGGAAATGCTAAAGCTTGCAAAGCAGGGGCAATAGAAATCAACTTCCTGTGCCCCACTCTCATAATTTCCTTGCTCACAGAAATTTTGGTTGACAGAGCAGACACTGTCAGACACAGGACAAGGCAGAACCACGGCAGTGACAATCCCGCCACCTGAAACAAAGCTCAGGAGTTATATCCAAAAATAAAGCTAAGACTCCAACATTCAGCCCTTTCACCTGCTTTTTCTGCAGAAGAGATTTATGCAGAGATAAATCCTTGCCACCTGGAAGTCCAGGCTGGTCCCTGGGCCCAAGAGCACAACTCCAGCGGCCCCCGGGAAGGACCCAGGCCACTGCTGCATGTGCCACATGCCACTCAGAGCAGCCCGCGTCCACTGATGGAGCTGGAGACCCGGGCTGCGTGCAGTGGGGGCCTTGATGCCAGAAAGAGAGGCAGGTGGGGAGCGGGGCGGAGCCAGCCCTTCAGGCCTTCCCGCGCCCGGGGGCCAACTGCTCCGGTTCAGCCCCTGCCCCTACTCCCGCCCCTATCCCACCACTCACCAGCAAAACCCCCAAATCCCTCGAGCCTGACTCCTCACCTGTGCAATGCTGCCCTGGTACCGCCCCCGAGTTCTCACACGCACTAAATAGAGTCACTGAGGGCGGCACCCAGCAGACTCCTGGGCACAGAGCTGGCTCTTCGAGCCCCTTGTCTGCCCTTCCCGTCACCTGGCCCCCATCTCCTGCATCCCCACCAACAGCCAGTGAAAACATCACGGAACAGGGCCAAAGCCCCTGCCGGGTCCGGGCCCAGATGAGCCCCAAAGGACGCGGAGGTCACGCACGGGCAGGGGTGCTGGTCAGGGCAGAGGGCCTGCTGGGTGGGCTGTTTCAGGACAAAAGCACAGATAATCGCGGCTGCACTGCATAGCAGACAGAAATGGAGGGACACACACACACACACACACTTTGAGTACTTTTGTCATTTTTGTTTGTTTCATTTTGTTTTGAACACTAAGATTTATTTTCAAACAGCACACAGACGTCTGCGGGGCAGGGCCAGGCCAGGCTGGTGTCTGGGCCCGAGGTCTCAGGGGACGCTGGACGCCACCCGCGGCAGCTGCCAGGAAAGGAGGGCCCCGGCCCGGGCGGCCGGCCCAAGCTTCAGGCAAGCGCGGTGCGCGGCGGCCCCCAGGACCCGCCCCGCGGCCGGGCACCCAGGCGGCGGCAGTGGCGCCACCCAGCGGGCGCGGGCGGGGGAGGCGGCCGGGAACTCAACTAGGGGATACAGCAGCTTCAGGAACACTGGCGATTCCGCCGGACTCGCCGAAACCAGGCTCTTTGGAAAACCACCTCATCTTTGGGAAGACACCTCCTGGCTTAGGTCTCTCCCCTCAATTTCCCTTTGCTTTTCAAAAGTTTAAAAACAAAAACGGAAAAAAAAAAAAAGAAACACACATTTTTCGGGAAAAGGTGCTGCTGTTCACGCATCCGCAGCACCACCAGCCGCTCTGCTCTCACTGCACCCTCGCGGTGAAGTTCTCGGGGAAGACGCCCCGGCACTTCTCCAGTTCCTTGTGCAGATTCCAGTCGCTCTCCTTCACACCCATGAGCCAGCCTTCATCCTGAGGGGAAGCCAGCGCGTTGCATGGGGCTGGGGGAGGACGACGTCCACCCCGACAGGGCGAGCCCTCCTTCTGGCCGCTCATTTCCTCTAGACCGTCACACCAGCCTTAAAGGACGCCTCCTCCAGGCAGCATTCCCTGCTCTTCTCTTGAGACCCAAACCGGGCCCCCCAGCCCAGGAGCCATCCCTCCCTGCAGCAGGTGCATTTAACTCTTTATTGTTTGGTGAGTCCTCAGGCGGGAAGGCAGCCTGACTGCTGCACTGGTCCAAACGCCTCTAAACGACTCCTTCAATCCCCCACCAAAGAGCTTCCCACCAGCTGGTGCCCACAGAGGCCACATCACCGAGGAGGACATCAACTGTTCTTCCGGCCTTCCACAAAAAATGCCAGAAAGTTATGCTGAGCACTGACCACTTGAAAGCTTCTAGAGTGACCTGAGGCCATCCCACCAAGCCCTCCGAGTCGAACCTGACCTTTGCTTTAATAGTGACCCCTCAGAAGGATCATCTACCCAAGCCGAGACAAGCCCTGACCCCTGGGCCTGAAGTGACCACACACCCCCTGCCATTGCTGCCCCTGCAGCGGGGCTATGCCTGGGACCCACCTGCAGGATTACCTGCCTTGTCCTAGACCCTGAGCCACACCCACCCACCCCAGATGGCTCCCACTGTGGGCTGGGAGGCCAGGAGTCTGCTCCTACAAACCCCACCTAGCCCGGGGCTGGACCCCCGGGGAGATCGGCGGGGACCTGGGGCTTTAGGAAAATGGGCTGATTCAGCGCCAGGCCCAGGAAACCCTTGTTACTCAAACCTCCCAGCCCACGGTGGCCTCAGTAAGTACCTACTGTCCTCAAGCCCCAGCCCAGGACACCCCAGCCAGGTTGGCCTCACCCCAATCCAGCCCTCCTCCCACCCTCGGCCGCTCTGACAATTACACCACAGGGACATGGTGGTGACTGAACGGACTAGAGTCCCACCAGGTTCCCTCTGCACTGTGGCTGCCACCTGGATACCCATGTGGGCAGCCCCACTGGACCGCCAGCACCCCACAAACAGGGGCTCCTGCTGAGGGGCCACAGCGACCTGAATAAAGCAGCCCATCCAGACCTGGCGGGGGGGAGGAGAGGGGGCAGTTCTGCTCAGCAAAGCCCACTCTGAGGCCCTTCACAGCAAGGAGAGGCCACAGCAGGAGAAGGGTCTGCGAGGCACAGGGTGAGGACCAGCTGGGGACAGGGCTGTGGACTCGGGGGTCTGTCACATGGGCAGGGAAGGGCGGGGCCAGCCTGGAGGGTGGCACCTGGGGCCAACAGGAGGCTGCAGAGCAGCGGGTGGGGGGCAGCCTGGGATGCGGTCCTGGAGGAGGGGGGCCCGGGTTGGGGGGGCCTGGAAGGGAGAAGGGGCCCAAGGAACTAGGATGCAGAGAATCGAGAGAAAGGCAGACAGAGGCTGAGGAAAGGAGGAAGCAAGAAGCAGGAAGTGAGAAACTGAGGGGGGCAGACAGGGTGAGAGCAGAAAAGGGGAACTGTGCCGGCCGCAGGGAAGGGAGGCGGAAGCAAAGGCGAGGCCGTGGGGAGAGGCCGCGGGTCGGCTGGCGTGGCTCTGCTGCCCCCTGCTGGCCGCGCCGCCTCCCTGCAGACCAGGCCTCACCTGCTCCTCTGGGTTCTGGAAGGGGATCACCAGCACCACGTCCCCAGCTTTGAGCTGCAGCTCGTCCGTGTCAGTGGCCGTGTAGTCGTGCTGGGCCTGCACCTGCAGAGGGTGGGGAGAGCTGACACCCCTTTCCTCGGCAGCCTCTGTCCCACCTGCAGCCCCGTGGGCGCCGGGAGAAGGTGAAAGTAGCAGGAGCGGGGCTCGGAAACCACCTCGCGGATTGGGGAGCAGAGGGCGGGTAGTCGGGGAGGGACGGCTTTGGGCCCCCCACATAGCCTCGGGCCCAGCGTCCTCCCCCCCCCCCCACGGAGGCAGCCGAAGGCTGCGGGTCAGCAGGCCAGGCTCACCTTGAACATGAACCCCGGGGGCAGGTCCAGGCGCCCTGCCCCGCTGCCGCCCTCCACAGTGCCGTTCACAGCTGCCGAGAAGGTCTCCACCACCAGCGCGGGGAGAGAGCTCTGGCGGGAGGGGGCGCAGGTTAGCGAGGGCGGGGAGTGGGTCCCGGAGGGCGGGGCCGCGCGGGCAGAGAAGGGGGTGTCTGTGCCCAATGCCAGACCAGCCTGCCTCCAGGTTCCTCACCAGGAACCATGACCTGGACCAGCACAGAGCAAGACACGGGGCTAGGGAGCCGCGGGCGGCGGGGAGAAAAGACAGGGCCTTGGTCCCTGTCATCTTACGGAGGCTGCTTCACTTGCTGCCGTCTCCCCGGGCTCCTGGGCTCCAGCCGCAGGGTGGGTCCCACACGTCACCTCAGAGGCCTCTGCTGGCTGCAACATAAATGCCAGCATGGGGTCAGACACAGGATGGGGCGCTGAGACCGGGACAAGGAGAGGGGCCACGGAGAGCCAGTGCCTCTGCCTGGTACAGGGAGCCCCTGAAAGAAAGGCTCCGGGCACGGAAGCGGCTGGAGAAGGTGCTGGCAGACACACGGACCCCGAGTGACATGCTGCTGAGAAGCCCAGCGCAGGCCCCTGGCTGCCACCCCTGAGCCTCCCTCACAGGCCCTGCCCTCTAAGCCCAAGCCCTGGCCAAGCCTCGGCTTCCTGCCACCCGCCTGGTCCCGCTGGCCCCTCACAGGTGGCTCCCGTGGCGAGGGCCCAGGCAGGGCACCCCGGACGCTGCCCGGCTGCAGTCAGGCTGCAGCCACTTCTGAGCTCTGGGAGCAATCACTCGGCCCTCCCAGCCCCCAACCTCCTCATCTGCAGGAGGAAATGTCTAGGTCAGGCTGCAGGTTAAAGAATTCTGGAGAGTGCCCACCATGGACCTGGAGGTGCTCGAGACATGCCTCCCTCCCACCGTGGGAGTCCTGAGCTGGGAAGCTGGGGCGGGGGTCGGCGAGCGGGTGAGGGGCTGACCTGACTGAGCCACAGCCCTGCCCCGGGGCCTCCTGGCTCAGGGCCCTAGCCTCACCCTCAGTCCCACGGTGGCCTTGTCCGTCCTGTGCCCCCTCCTCCGGGCTCTTCCTCCATGCTAGACCCCCAGAGGCCGGGGGCGGGTGAGGGGCTGGCGGGGGCACTTACTTGGGCAGGCCCCGGCTCGGCCGTCTGGCTGGGCCAGGCCACGGCAAAGGTGCCCTCGGCAGCGCTGGGCTCCCTGGAAGGCAGGCTGCCAGCTGGACTCTCTGTGGGCTAGTGATGGGCCACCAGGGAGAACAGGGTGGGAGGGGCGGGGGGCGGGGGGGGGGGGGGAGACAAGAGAAGAAGGTCGTGAGCAGCCCAGCGTGGGCCCACGGGAGCAGATGGGCACCTGCAGCCTGGCCGCCCCACGGGGCACAGACAGAGACTCCCCAGAGGAACACCTCCTCCCACCACTGCGCAGGGGACAGGAAGGTGTGAATGTGTCACACGCAGCTCAGCACGTGGCTCTCTCTGGCCTCCTCCAGGGAAATACCCTGGAGCTTGCGAGCCCCGGAGCCTGGGCTGCAGGCGCCTTCTCGCCAGCCCCTCCTGGTCCTGCGGGAGCCGCGTCACCAGCTGTGGGGTATCCTCCCTGAGGGCGTGGATGTCTGAGCCACCAGGTGATGGCAGCACCTGTCGGGCAGGCGCCTGGCCTCACTCTGTCTGTCCTGTTTCTCGAATCATCTCTCCCCCCTCCTCTGTCCCAGCAGCTCCCTGGTGCCACTGCCCTGCGGGGCCCCTGCTGACAGAAAGCTCCTCGGAGGCAAGGACCCTCCACCCCAGGGCCCCCCTACCCAGCAGGCCTTGGCCCAGCACGGGGACACCCCATCCACCCTCGGGGACCAGTTGGTCACTGTCTACGCCACTCACAGGCCCTGACAACTGGGCTGCACCACGGGGGACTCTTCAGAGGCTAAGCTGAGGAGCCTTTTCCCACAGGGCCTGGCTGAAGGCCCAGTGTCTCCATGGGGGGGGGTGGCGGGGAGGGGGAAGCAGACGAGCTGGAGGCCCGACAGCTCCCTGTGCGCGTGGGCACGGCCAGGCGTGCGTGTGCGTGTGCACCTGTGAACCAGCCAGGTGCAAGACGAGGCAGGGTGGGCACAGAGCAAACACAGCTTACCTCCCAGAGGTCCCACGGAATTGACTGAGCACAGCAGAGGGGAGAAGGACAGAGTTAGCACGGAGGTTAGAGGCGGCGGCAGGCAAGCAGTCCCCAGGGACCCCGCACCCGTCCCAGGGCCCTCGAGCCCAGCAGGCACAGGGCAGGCAGAACAGAGCCGGGCTCTGCGGTCCCCAGAGCACCAAGTCCTGGACACCTTCCAGGCTACTGAGACCCCCAGGCCAGGGAGTGCCCGAACCCGGGGCTGCCACCATGAGAGGGGCAGGAGGGTGCTGAGATGGACCGTGTAAGCTGCCAGGTGAGTGTTCAGCTGACCTCGTCCCGAAGGTCCTCTTGCTGACCTGTGTCCGCCCTCTTCCCTTTCCCATGGTCAGGACCAGGGGAGGTGACAAGAGCTGGGAACCAGGGCTCCAGGGGAAGGGCAGTGAGTGGGCGGAGAGCCTGGTGACCCCAGGACCCCCAAAGGCCTGGGCCTAGATGGGCCCACATGGCCGGAGGGCAGACATGAACACAGGCCCCGGGGCCCAGAGGCCGGTGGGCCCGTGGGCAGTGCTGGGCTCACACCAACCTGACCGGAGGGCGTGGGCGCCTTCACAGGGCTTGCCACAGGTGGGAGGGGGTCAAAGTCCAGGTCCAGCAGACTGGCCTGCTCCGAGAAAGGCCCCGGGGCCTCAAACTTGGCAACAGCGGCAGAGAAGGAAGGCAGTTAGTGCCAGGCTGTGAGCACTCGGCCAGGGCGGCACAGCAGGCTCCGCTCCCAGACACACCCACCAACACGAGGCCACGCCCCCCACCACACCCCCGCACAGGCTCCGCCCACACGAGGACACATCTGGGGCGGGGCCAGCCGCCAGACCGAGGCCGAGCCCCCACCTGTCCCGCGTCTGTCCCATCCTGCAGGCCAAGGAGGCCTCCCCGGGCCTGCGCCCCCCAGCAGCAGCCCAGGCCAAGGCACGGGCTGGACAAGACCACACTCAGTCCCCCGGCTCGGAGCCCCTGGACGGGTACAGGCCTCCCCTTGCTGCCGCAGACTGAGAGGCAGTCCTGTGGTGACACCCACCCCCAGCCAGCTCAGGGCCAAGCCAGCACACAGAGCCCAGGAGCCCCGTCGTAACGGAGGGGGCCCCCAACACCTGAGCACCCGTGTTCACACTGCACGTCCCTCCCCAGCCCCCCCAAGTTTCCCATTCAGCGGGGCTGAGTGCGGCCCTGGGATGTGCACGTAACAGGAATGGCCCCAGGAGACGGGCCGCAGTGGCCCCGTCCACACTGTGAGAAGCCAGCCCCTCAGTAAGCTGGGCCCGACGATCGTGCAAGAAAAGGGTCTTTCCCAGAGCCACCCTGGAGGACAAGCCGCCTGGCACCACTGCCCAGCGGACACGCTGCCTTCCTGGGAGGAGGGCTTGCTCCCCTGTGGCCCCAGCTCACACAAGGGGCTTCCCCGGGGACAGGGAGGGCTATGCCTGCCCTGGCTCAGCCCAGGGTCCTCCCCTCAGGCAGGGCTGGGAGCGCCACAGCCCCGCAAGCCCAGGCCAGCCAGCTTCCCTCCCCACCCCCTTGATGGGGCCCAGAACTGACGGAACACACTCTCCAGCCCAAAGCACCCGAGGTCCTCCATTTAGAAGGACCCGAGACCTGGAAGCATGGGCAGAGGTTCCCAGGGGGGGCCTTCCCACCTGAGCTGCGGCCTGTGTGGGGAGACCCAACACCCGCACTCCTGAGAAGGGCTGGTGCCGCCAGTGCACAGCTCAGGGGATGAGGCGCAGAGCGCAGAGGGCCCAGGCCCGAGCTCAGGGGACTCACTCCCGCCCCACACTCATCCCCAGCCACAGACTCTCCTCCAAGTCAAGCCCTGTCCAACGAGCCTGGGAGGAAGGTCACTGCCATCTCTAGGGGACCGAGTGTCCGGGAGGCCGCGCAGGCTGGGCCTGGGTGCCCTCACCGGCTGCAGGCAGCATCTCTCTGCCCCTCACGGCCCCACCACCCACCCCTCTAAGAAGCCAGCCAGGCCCAGGCAGCCACCACCCCACCCACCAGACTCCAAGGGTACAGGGTCACCAGGCCAAGGGCAGACCGCGCACGCTCTGCTCACCTCCCAGCAGGCCAGCCTCGCACCGTGCAGGCCCGGAACCGGCCTCGGGGGCAGGCACGCAGGCTACTCACCACAGCCCAGCAGAGCAGCGCTGTCGGCACAGCAGCCCGGGGGGACCAGCCCACCCCAGCCCCATGCAAAGCACCCCGCGAGCGCTCTCCAACCCCGCTGGGCGGGGCCCCGGCTCCGAGGAGTGGGTGGAAGGACAGATGGGAGGCATGCAGAGAGCACGGAGGGGCGCAAGGGCCACGCTCAACGGGCAGCCTGGCTGCAGGTGAGGCCCTCAATTCCTCACCTGTGAAGTGGGGACAGCCCCTCCCAGAGGGGACTGAAAATCGAACCAGGCCCCGTAGGTCAGCGGCTGGCTCCACCCCCTGCACAGTGTCTACTAGCCCTGGAGTGCACCCCAAGGCGAAGGTAGGCTCCAGGCGGCAAGTGTCCCAGCCACAAGCTGCCCTGAGGCTGCGGTTCCCCAAGGCCCCGGGAGTGCCCGGGGCCAGCCTCAGCCAGGCTCTCCAGAAAGGCTCCCTCCCGTCCCCCGAGGCAGGGCAACCCCCGCCCTCCCCCAGCCACCCTGCACTGAAAGTTCCTAGCTCCGACCCGAAGTCCTCCCATGGGGGCTTGAAGCCCACTCACCCCACGGTCCCTCATCGCGCAGAGCACGGTCCTCCGCTCCTAACGGCCACTCCCCCGATGTGCCAGCCCCAGCCCTGCCCCTCCCTGCAGGCCTCTGAGCTTGTGCAAAGGAGCCTGCACAAGGCAGGACCCGGAGACCCGGGCAGGACAAGCCCACAGCAGTGCTGCAACGTGGGCCCAGCACAGCCTGGGACTAGCCAGCCTGCACGAGTGGCGAGGCCTGGCGGGGACAGGGCAGCCCGGCTGTGAGGCCCGGAGGCCAGGCTTGGAGTCGTCGGCGCACTGCGGCCTCTGTGAGCTGACCCGACCATGTGCGGTCCACCCCCCTGCCACCACAGTGACCTTCCCTGCTCTGCCCGCCCTCCGTCCCCCTGGGGATGGGTATTACGTGCCTCCTAGGGCATGGACAGCAGGAGCCGGGCTCTGCGGCCCAGCCACAGCCCCGGCTCCAAGTGGGGTCAGCAGCTCTGGGAGCTAAAGTCTCAGCGCCTTGCAGGTGTTCCCAACCCTGCGAGTCACCTCCTCACCGCCGCCCAAGCAGTGCTCTCCTGACGGGCACGGAACTCCCGACAGATCCTGAGCCTGTCCCTCACCCGTCCTGACCTACACGCTCGCACGCTACCACCTCTGGCCAACGCACGGTGTCTGCTCGTAGGCAAATGTCACCTGCTCCAGGAAGCCTTCCCTGATTGGCCCAGGTCCTCCGTGCTCCCTGCCCCTTTTGGCCACAGCATCAATGGAACGGAGAGGCCACTGCGCAGCTGACGGTCTCTACTAGGACTGTTTGCCCGTGTCCCTAGGTCTGGCCACGTGCTCAGAGATGAGGGATGACGGGTGGAGAGACGGAGGGACGTGCGAGAGAGAGAGGCCCAGAGTCGACCCCTGCTCCTGAGGCAGAGGCACCGGGGGTGGGAGGGGGGGAAGGCCATGCGCACCCTGAAAGAGCGAGAGAAGGGAGAGAGAGCTGGGCCGCGGCGGCCGCGGCTGACCTGGGAGGGGGTGGTCACGCTGATCTCAGGGACAGTTGTGTCCTCAAACAGGCTGAGGGTCTGCTGCTGCTTGACCTCCGTGCACGGGGTGTGTTTGGGAGGCGGAGGGACCGGTGGGCCTTTCCGGAGCTGGGGGTCGGCAGCAGTTGGGGGGCCGCACAGCAGAGCATGGGGGCCAGGGAGACAGACAGAGACAAAGCCACGTTAGTCACACCCCTAGCCGCCGAGGAGGACGAAACAAGGAGAGCCACTGCTCCCCGAGACATGGACACCGAGACCACAGGGGCCCCCGGGAGGGGCCGAAGCAGGCGGTCGGAAACCCTGTGCAGAGAGAGGGCAGGGCGGAGGGCGAGGGAGCGAAAGAAGAGAGAAGAGGAGAGAACAGGACAGAAAAGAAGGAAAGAAGGGCCTGCGGGGCCGCCAGGGGCTGGCATCGGAGGATCTGGCCCTCACCGCCCTCAGGGGAGGCTGAGGAGAGAAAGAGGAGCTGAGAGAGAGCCAGGCGTCCAGCCCCCTGCCTCTGCTCCTGCACGCCCGGGCCCTCTGCCCACCCCAACCCCTGGAGGAGCTGCAGCCCAGCCGCTGGCCGTCACCCCCGAGGCCAGCACACAGCCAGGGCCCCGCAGAGGGCCACGCACCTGCCCACTCGGGGACCTCAGCAAGTCACCGCCCCCGCCCAGGCCTGGGTTTCATCGCTTGTCGTTGGGGTGATAACAGCGTCTGCCTTACAGGCTGGTTGTGAGGACAATGAATGAAAATACAGAAAGGCTGGCCCGGGGTCCGGGCCCCGAGCAAGTGCTCGAGTCAAGTGCAGGCTCTCAACACCCTCTTAGCGTCGCTCTCCTAATCAGCTGTCCAGCGGGCCGGGAGCCGAAGGGCCAGGGGACAGCCCAGCAGGGCTCAAATGGTCCTGCCTGGCGGACCCCACCCCTCCTTCCTCCCTTTGCAGCTCCTGGGGACGCTGCAGAAACCTGGAGAAAACTGACGGGGGGAGTGGGCTTCCCCCTCCCTCTCCCCTCACTGAGCCCCTCCTCGCGATGCCCCTTTCAGGGTCCCGCATGGCCCCCCGCAGAAGAAGGCAAGGAAGAGGGGGAGGCAGCCAGCTGCACAGATCTGGATGCAGTCTCCCCTGGAGACTGTGTCTCAGGAGGAAAGGAAGACGGAGAAGGTCAAGCAGCCCAAAGGCCAGGGGAAAGGAGAGAAGGGGATGCTACAGCAGGTGCGGGTGGGGGGACACTTAAGGAGGAGACAGACGGTCACAGGTGCCCCTGTGACCCTGGCAGGGGCCGGGGCCACGGAGAGGAGCCAGGGCCGGCAGGGACAGGGGACAGGGATGGAGGGGAACGGCGGCAGAGCAGGAGGCAGAGGAAGGGAGGGAGGGACAGGCCACCGAGACACGTTCCTACCTGAGACGGGGATTTGGGGAGGGCGGCCCCGGGGGTGGCCGCAGCAGCCGGCTCGGGCTCGTGGTTGACTCTGATCTCGGGGGTGGCGGCAGGGGAGCCATCAGGCGGAGGAGAGGGGCTCTTGTTCCCTTTCGCAGGGGCGTTGTCACTGCGGAGGCGAGACAAGAGAGGGGCCCGGATGCAGGGAGGCCGCGGCGTCCAGGAAGGTGTGCGTGTGACAGGGTGTGTGCACGTGCCAATGCCCCGGGGACCCGTGTGTGAAAATGTGCACGCACGTGTGTGTGTCCACGTAGATCCTGGGAAACTGAGGGTGCACGTGTGTGTCCAGACTCACTGGAAAAACGTGACACCCACGTGTGCACAAGTGTGTGTCCCCGTGCACCCACGTGTGAAACTGCACATTCGTGTGCAGAAGGACAGGTGGAAATGAGGCGACACAGGCGTGAACACTGGGAACAGGCAGGTGTCCGCAGCAGGGCCTGCCCTGGACAACCACAGTGACAACCACACCCGGAGCTGAGGTCTGCGGGCCCCGGGGGGGGGGGACCAGGGCGGGAGCCGGGAGCCGCCGCCAGGGGCCGGCCAGCCTCCCTCAGGCCTCCACCAGGTGCAGGGGCACCGAGCCCCACAGCAGGAGAAAGCCACGCATCCTAGAAGCAAGGTGAGTCTCACCCCCACGCGTCACGCAGCAGCCTCTGCGCTCAGGGCGGCCCCGTTCCTCAGCCTGAGCCCACGGGCCTCCGGGCCAGCTTGCCTGCCGTCCACCCCTCACGCCAGCGCACAGCCAGCCCCGCTCCCCAGGCCCCGAGCCTTTGCTCCCACGGGTCCTCCCGGGGAACCCGGGGAACCGGCAGAGGCAACGGGCAGAGGGGGTAAATAAACGGGGTGGGGGGGGTCTTCACAGCGGGGACGAGAGGGTGAGGCCCCCATGTCGAGTCTCCGTACCAACAAGGACAAACGGTGTGCACGGCCCGCTACTGGGTGCAAAATAAAAATCTATGCTGTACTTGCCTAAAGAAACTCTAGAACAGTGCTGACTGAGACCGCCACCAGCTACAGGTGGCTGTTTAAATTAAATAAATTAAAAATTCAGCTCCTCAGTCACCCTGGCTGCATTTCCAGTGTCCACCAGCCACATGAGGCAGGCGGCCACTGTGCTGGACCGGGCAGGTCTAGAAGGACAGACAGAAACTAGTGACCCCATCACCTGCCCGAGCATGGCGGGGGGCCAGACCACGGCACAGATGCGTGGGAGACTCGCTGGTTCCTTCTCACCTTTACTGAATGTGTTTTATGGGAACGTCTTTGCCTCCTTAAAGAGTACACATACATCCAGCGTATGTACACACGCACACACACACAGAATTCCTACACACCGCGGGGCTACAGCAGCCCTCTCCCCGAGCCTCCGGACCTCCCTTCTGGCTGCATCCTCCACTCCTGGTCAGGCCACAGCCCAAGAGGAACGTGCCGAGGCGGTCTGCCCGCCCTCCGTTCCCACTGACACCCCTCTGCCCTCTGCCCCCCAACACGCACACCACACACAGGAAGGCGAGTTAGGGGTTAGTGGCGCCCTCGGCAGGGCCAGGCGCATGCACAGGGGCCGGGGTGCTGGCCTCCGAGGCCCCCACCACACAGCACTCACTGCCGGTACCTGTTCTTCTTTCTGCGCAGCCGCGAGAACAGTTTAGTTTTCTTTCTGTGGGGACGGGCGGGACGTTGAGGCCTTTGTTTGGGGGAAATGCAGATGTGTGCCCGGCCTTTTCCCTTCCCTCATCGGCAGCCCCTCTGCTCAGAGGAGGGCTAAGAGCAGAAGCCCTCCTAACTCCCGGAGGCCAGGAAGAGGGCCCGGTCCTGCCCACGGCCCCGGCTGTTCAGTCCTGGGGCCCCCGCTGGCCTCCGTGTCCTGCCAGGCACGCTGAGGTGGTGCCCACGGAACAAGCAAAAAGAGGACGCTGCCCTGAAGCAGGACCTGGCGGGCGGCAGGCGGCTCAGGCCGGGACAGCGCTGGCCACCCGCCCTGCCCGGGGTCCAGCCACAGGAGCTCTGGGGCCCAAGAAGGACCGGGGTCAGTGGGGGGCCCTGGGAGAGGTGGCAACCTGGCTGCCCGCTTTGCTGCAAAGGGGGCTCACGAGCCTCCAAGGCCCTTCCTCTCCCCTCAGACCAGCCCTTTCCCAAGGCGGCCTGGCCCCAGCTGCCTGCACTGCCCGGGTGGGCGGCGCCCTCCACCCCCCTCACCCATCCTGGACGCGCCACCATGACCTCCAGGCCAGGCGGTGACCTGGGAAACACGTTTTGGCCTTTATTGCTCCCAGGGCACCCTGTGGGCCGCCCCCTCCCTCACACATACTGTGTTTGCAGGGGACAAGAGGGACAGTGACGTTCACTGAATACTGACTGCCTTCCTTCTCCTAGGGGACACCCTAATTACCCCAAGAACCAGATGCAATCACCCCGCCTTGTAGCCGAGGAGGGCGGGGTGCATCGCTGCTCTCCACACTGTGCTGCGATGCAGGGCAGCTCACGGACGGAAAGGAAGGGGAATCTCAGACTTGCTGTGGTTTCCCACGGGCCACAGCCGAGGCCCAGGCGTTTCCCCTCCTCCCTGGAGCTCTCCCCCCAGGAAGCAGGGCTCCCCTCTGGGCAGAGGGCAGGAACAAGGGCACCCCCCCTCCCCGCCATCCGGGGCCTCGGATAAGGTTGGGACCAGGTCCCCGCTCTACGTGGAGGCTCCCTTCCCATTGGGCTGAATCATTTAGTCCCCGGGCCCACCTGCAAAGCTGCACAGATAGGGAAGCCAGGCCCAGGCAGGGGAGCTGCAGGCTGCCCGGGTAGCTCCTTCCCAGAGGGGACACGGGGTGGAGGAGGAGGGGGGCCCTCACCTGCTCCCCTGAGCACAGGGAGGCCCAGCCAGAAAGGACCTCAGCAAACAGCCCAGCCCCAGACCTCACCTCCCTGAGCCCCCAGCGGCCCTCGGCAGGGGAGGGGGGGCATCACACACCTGGGCTGGGCCTTGATCGTGAAGGTGTTGCTCCCGTGCTGCTTCTCCAGGCTGACCAGCACATCGTTGAGGTTCTGGTTGAGCTGCAGGAGGGACAGCAAGCCGGTTGGCTGGGGGCCACCAAACAGCCCCCCTCTCCCTAACAACATCCCTGATTCTCTTCCTCCCCACCAGCCCCTCCCCTGTGCCCCTGCCCCAACCAGGAGCAAGCTCTTCTCTTCCCATCACTGGGGGCAGGGAACCAGCACACCTGTCCCAGAAAACCCACAGGAAAAAAGGAGGAGGCAGTGGGCTGCCCTGAGAACAGCTACTGTTTCTGGGACCACCTTTTTCTTCTTCCTACTTACGGGGCATTTCTTAAAATGCCCCATAGAGCTTGTACTGTTTTTAATTTTTTTCAATTGTTTTGGCAAATTAACTGTTGATCCTAATTGCTGAAGTCACTTGCCAAGATGCTTTCAGGCCACGTTACAACTGCCAGAGGTTTCACCAAAAGCCCAGACAAGACGAGGGGCTTACCCCATGCACCTCGTGATTCTCTTTACTGAGTATACTTCCCTCCGCTTTAGCCGCTAGGAAGCCCAGAACTGAATTTTCCTCCCACCTTACATAAATGTTTTCTTCCCAAAACACCTCTCTCTGCTTTTTTAAATTTTTTTTACAAGTTGTCTCAAATCTTTGAAGGGAAGAAGAAAAAGTAGGAAGGAAAGGGAAGGCCTACCAGGCAAGAAACCATACTGAGGGTGGTCGCTCAGGGCAGGCCCCAAGCTGGCAAAAGCCCTCCTCCTGCCCTGGGCCTGGAATGCCCCACAATCACTTCATTCCTCTGGGCCCAGGAGACAAAGTCAGGTCCACCCAGGGCACAGGGAGGGAGGGAGCTGCCAACGCCACGTTTCTCCCACGCAGCTTTGCAGCTTAACTGCCAGTTCAATCAGGATGAAGACAACACAACATAGGAATTTAAACTAATCAGACCCAGATTAGCTTGCGCCGGATTCTGTAGGTAGAGCAAACTTAAAACATTTTTTTAATTGGGAAAATTTTAGTAATTTATTTCTTATCTGCCTACAAATTGGAAAACTGCCACCATTTTCTGACACTGAGCTCCCTGGGCCAAGGCTGCCTGAGAGCACGTTTCCAGTTTGAGGGTGGTGGGCTCCACCCAGGCAAGGAGAATAGAACTGGGAGCTGGGAGGGGGCCGGGGTTGGACCCCTGGGGCCCACTCGCAGCCTCCCCAGAGCACTCAGCAGCTCCCATTGGGCCCTGACACTGTTTCTCAGGGGCCCAGAGGGTCCCCCTGTGGTCACCAGCATGTGTCCAACCCCAGCAGGGAAGAGGAAGCTCGGCCCACCCATGCCTCTGACCCTGGCCCTTGGCAGGTGGAGCACAGCTCAGGGGCACTACCTTACTCATCTCCTTGTGGAAGTTCTCCTCCAGGCCTGCGATGCTCTGAAATGTGTTGACATAGAAACCCACACGGCTGCAGGGGGGAGGGAAGAAGGGCCAGGTGAACTGCAGACCAGGGCGGGCAGCCCAGGAGAGCCACACGGGCTGCTTCGCCTCCACCCTCACCGAACCCAGCCCTGGGAGGGCACGGAGCAGGGCACGCAGAATGGCCATGCCGCCTCAGGAGGGGAGGGCGGCCGAGGCTCGGCCCGCCACCCCCCGCCCCTCACCTGTTCCACAGGGACGGCAGCTCCTCCTGCAGATCCACATTCATCTCCTCAAACACCTTCTGGGCTTTGACGAGCTCCTCCTCGGCCTGGAGGGCGGGACGGGTCATTCCCCTCTGCCAGGCCTCCGTCCCAGCCCACCCAGGCTAGGCCACGCCCACCCAGGCTAGGCCACGCCCATTCCCAAGACCCGCCCCCCCGCCCCAGTGCACGGGGACCAGGGCTCGGGCAAGATGGAGGTTGAAGTGGATGTGGACGCCCGGGCAGACCTCCCCATGCAGCCCTTCGGGCCCCTACAGCCAGGCCCGTCGGGGGCATTCCGGGCAGAGCAGCCACGGCCAAAGGCAGAACCCGCCCCGCCCCCCAGCATCTGGCCCAGATGCGCCAACATGGAGGTGAGAGGAGCACAGCAAGAAAGCATGAGACAAGGGACAAAGGGGGCTGGGGCACAGGAAGGGCAGAGGCCCCAGACCCAGCCAGGTGGGACCCTGCTCACTTCCAGGGGAGCCTCTCTCAGGCGAGGAGTCCGCATGCCGCCAGCTCTCGTGCCGGCCCCTCTGACTCTTCCTTCCCTCCTCTCCCAGGTCTGGCCCCTACTCAGCCTCAACCACCAGCCTGACTTGGCCTCCCTGGGAGTCTTTCCTACCCTCTCCCGACCCCTCTCTCCTCTGTAACCCTTCCCCACCAGACTGAGGCCAGAGGCAGCAGATCGGGCACATCCACGAGAGGCAGGGGAGGAGGGAGCCGGGCTGCTGGGCAGGGGGCCTGCACCCACTCCCGAGGCCTGGGGACCGGGCGCCGGCCGGGCGCCCTCCAGGCCTGCCCACACCCACCAGGCGGTGGCGCTAAGACCCCATCACAGAGCCCAAGAAAGGAGCTTGGCGAGGGCTGAGACGAGGGTAGGGGTGAGTCACAGACCCCGGCCCCAGAAAGGGCTCGGCTAACACATTCCGGAGGGCGCTGCAGGAAACAGTGACTCAGAGGGGGGGTGACTTGGATTCAGGCTCTGAGTCACAGACCAGGAACGAACGTGGAGGCCCCGCCCAGGAGAAAACTCTCCTCCGGCAGCCTCACGTTCGCAGGCCAACTGGCCGGAACCGCCAGCTGCCACAGAGCACACCCAAGCTGCCCCATCCAACCTGAGCCCCCCCAGCTGTCCCATCCAGCTTCAGGCACCAGCATCAGCCCGAGTCAGGGCCTACCCGCCGCTGTGCCGGGGCCGAGCCGTGGTGAATGTGGGGGTGGGGTTTGGAGGGAAGAAGGGCCACCATGCCCCTGACTACATGGCCTTCAGGTTGCTGGAACTTGCTAGAGTGAGCAAGGGCTCCTCGCCTCACTTTTTAAAATCTCACTTAAAAATTAAAGGGAGTCCACAGAATACTAATAAAAACAAATATTATCAAAAAAAATTAAAGGGCGAATAGGAAATAAAAGAAACGTCTCTAAGCATGCATGCCTCAGGCCACTCCTGGAATGGGTCAGATCTGCAGTGCCCTCCAGGCCATGGGCCGCATCATCCCTGCTTTAGTCCTCTGAGAATCCCAGTGCCTGATGGGGGGCCACTACCCACACTTCCAGCCTCCAGCACCTAGCACTGTCACGTGGGCCTCCCACCCAAGTACCCACAGGCCAGCTCAAGTCCCACATCCTCCAGGACCACCTTGACCGCCCCGGCTCCTGCAGCCACAGAGACCACCACTCCGGTCCCCACGATGCTCGTCCTAACTCCCCAAATGGACAAGCGGAGCCAAGACGGTGGCGGCCAGCACAGCAGCTCGTAGCTGTGCACCAAGTGCTGTTCACACACCCAGCAATGCTGCAAAGGACAAGGTGGCTCGGTTTCAGAGTTCCTAGAAGTCAGGGCCTGTGTCTTTTATTCCCTTTGAGTCACATTCCTCATATCCTGGCTCTTTCAGAAACACTAGGGGTGGCAGGAGGTGGGGGGAGAGCTGTCCATTGCTGGGGAGACCCTGCAGCCCCGGTGGCTCCACTACACGCCGCTGGCGGACATGGAGAGCAGTGGGAAAGCTCGCCATGCAGCAGGGCCCCGGGGCCCTGCAGGCAGGTTTGGGGAGGCCCCAGCACACATGGAGAGCAGCTCGGAAGCAGCCCAGGGGACATCCGGAGCTGGCCGGCTCAGGAGAGCACAAGCCTCAGGAGGTGGCACTGTCTCCCCAAAGTCAAGTCAGCCAGCAGGGCAGCCCCGGGACCCCAAGTGCCCCAGCTCACTGCCAGCCAAAGGCCTGAAGGCTCCCCAGCCTCCAGCCAGGCGTGAGGCAGGGTGGGGCAGAAGGAGGAGAAGCTCAAATGAAAAGGATCCAAATGGGAATGTCAATTTGGCCGAAAGGCGAAACATCTGCAATCCAACATGCAAAGATGAGATCCCAGTGGCTTGGCCTGCCCCGGCCATCCTCCAGGACCGATCCTCCAGGGCGGGGGCTTGGGGGCCCTCCCGCAGGATCCCCAACCACACCCATCCCGGGAGCCCCAAAGCGGCCACGGCCACCACCCCAAGCCCCACAGTCTCCCAGGGGCTTCTCCCACAGAACAAAAATGTTCACCTGGCAACTGTGCCAAACCCGTCTCAGGGAAAATTATGCAGAAATCCTGGCTCTGGGTGAGTGGCCCCATTCCCCCTCCAGCCAGAAGTCCTGAACTCTACAGGCAGGACAGGCCACTCCAGCCCCTCGGCCCTCCTCCACCTCCTGCAGCAGGGGAGGACACGGGCCTGTCCAAGGTTCCCCCGGCCATTTACCGCAGACCCTGGAGAGGTAAGGCTGTCAACAGCTCAGTGCCTCCAAAGTCGGCCCACAGCTTTGGCCTAAAAGACATCGGGCAACGGGTAGCCACAAGCCCACGCGGAGCCCAGAGTTCTCCATATCACAGGCATTCAATACGTGTGGGCTGAAGGTGAGGAAATCGGAAGGTGGCCCAGATAAAAGGGGGCAGCTGCCCAGAGCGAAACCCCACCTCCTGGGTGGGGCCTCTGTCACCTGCCCCCACCCCAGGACCACGAAGGGGTGCTACAGCCTGGTCAGTTTCACCGGACTGAGAACCACGAGGCCACCTCTCCCAGGGCACTGCATCGTGGTCCTTGGCCACACTGTGTTCATCCAGGGCCCGGCCCATTCCGAGGTATTGCCAGGATAGTAGTCATCACTCATGACTTTCGTACAAAGAGCCTCCTCCAGGAAGCCCTCAGGGACCACTGTGACGCGGACTGTTTGCCCTCCATGAAATTCCCAAAGAGCCAATCCTCTCGGCCCCAGGTCTCAGCATCCCAGCCAGACTGAAGAGCCTTCCCAGCGTCCCCTCCAGGGGCACCATGGGGCCTACAGGTCCACTTACAAGGGTCACCATGACTCTGGCCAGCTGTGGCAGGACCACCCACGTGGAGCCCCGGGCCAGGGAGCCAGGATAATGACCCAGGGCTTGAGTCGGGTGAGCCCCAACTCAGACACTAAGCGGCTCTGAGACCTTGGGCAGGAGATTCTGCCTCTCTGGGCAGGTTTGTCTCCTCTGTACATTCAGGGCAACCTCACAGTTCTTATGAAGCTTGAAGGACAATGCATTAAAGACACCACATCCCTCCCCACAAGAGCCCTCACAGAGGACAAAGGTTCCGAGGCTTTCCTGGGCTCCTGGAGGCTAGGATTTCAGAGCCGGTCCCAGGACGACCAGAGCCCCGGGCACCACGCAAACAGAGGTGGGCCCATCCCAGGTCAAGCAGAGCCCCCAGCCTCTATCCGCTTCCTGCATTGGACCTCAGATCTCAGAAGCAGGAGCTCTCGCAGCAGAGACAAAATGAAAACAGCCCTGCCTCCCAACCCGGGAGGAACCCGCCCCCGCCCCCGCCCCTCCCCCCCCCCCAGGGCGTCTGGGCAGATGGGCGCCCAGCACCACCCAGCACCAAGGACAGGACGACAAACCAGAAGGCGCCAGCACGTGCAAGGTTAGAAGCCAGTGTCACCTGATTTCGGAGCAGGTTAGTTTGAGCTACGAGATGAGCCTGCAGTTTGCCTTGGCACCACTGGGGGGCGGCTTTCTCAAGCAGCGAGACAGGCTGGGGGGGGAGGGGAGGTCAAGGTCAAGGCCAAGGAGCGTAGAGAAACAGGAGGGAGGTGGGGAGAAAGAAACAGAGACACAGACATTAAACACCACGTCCAAACAGTCTCCAGTGCAGTGACAGACACCTGCCACCCTCCAGAGGGCCGGCCCCCCAGAGCAGGTAAAGGCCCCGAGGCTGAGAATTAAGGGGTGCCCCGAGCGGGGCGGAGAAGGGGGTGAACTCCAACTGCAAAGCAAAATGTGAGAATCGTTAGCAGGGGCAGAGGGGCTCAGCAAGCACAGTCCTGCCCCGGGCTGGGCGGGGGGCTCCGCCCGCAGACCCTCACCTGGAGAGTGTGTGTGCAACCTCCGCCCCACCCCCGCCCGGCTTGTTCCAGCTGTGGCAGGGTCGCTGGGGATCCGGTGAAGGAATTCCAGCCAGAGCGCGCCAGGCCGGGAGGGGCCGGGCCAGTGAAACCCAAGCCAGGCCTGTTCTCATCTTGGAAAGCAGCCTCAGAGCAGGCGGAGGGGCCAGGGGACAGGGCGGCACTACAGGAGGGGCCAGGAGGGGGGCCTCACCCAGGGGCCCACAAGAGCCGCTCACTCAGGCCCTGGGCCCAGCGCCGTCCCCACCCCAGCTCTTCAGCCAGACCTACCGGGACTAGTCCCCAGCCATGAAGCCATCTGGCAAGGGGGTTGAGGATGCCCGCGGGCCAGGGCGCAGTGACAAACAAGCCCGCCTAGGGTGCGGTGAACGCAGCACAGGAAGAAGGCTCCCCGGGGGAGGGCTTGGGACCCCTGCGGCCCTGCTGCCTGCCACTCCCTGAAGACTCCCCGGCAGCACCCAACACCTCCAGCCTTACCTTAGCAATTTTGGCTTCATCCTTCTTCTTGGCGGTTTGGAGAGACTCGTAATGGTGCCGGGCACTGTCGTAGTCAACCAGCTTCCGCCCACGCTTGGCGATGCGTGACTGGGGGACAGAAGGAGGAGGGGGCTGAACAGGGCCTGGCGCCCACGCTGAGATGCTGACCCGGGGAAACTGGGTCACGGGCACGGTGACCTAGATGCACCCGGAGGGCTCAGGGCAGCGGACTCCAGGCTCAAGTCCGTCTAAGACGTGCCTGCGACTGTCTCTCGGACATTTCTGGTGGCAAAGAGCTCACCCTTCGAGGCAGTCCGTGCCCTCTGCGGTCCTTTCTTCTATGGAGGTCCTCGCAACAGTGAACCATTTTTGTCAGTTCCTGCCAGCCGCGTCCGATGAGCCCCCTCCCTTGGCCCTCAGCTCCTTAAAGAGGCCTCCTGGGCCTCGGGCTTCTCTCCGCCCGGGCCACCACCACCTGCCTCCCTCCTACTCTCCCCGTAAGGCACCGTAGGGAGCCTGAGGCATCTGCACTGGGTGGCCGAGGTGGCCAGCGTGGACCGGGACCCCCGCACCCACCCACCCAGGGGATCGGGTCCAGCACTATGGTCACCACCTGAGCTCCAGACAACTCTGCCTGCATGTCTGGAGCACCTGGGGTCCCAGTCACCTCGGCGGCGATCCTGGCACACTGACGGGTCCTCACTCACCCGGGCCCAGCAAAGGCAGCTGGCTTTTTGAACATGCGAAGTCGCACAAACACACCCAGCTAAGAGGCGACACGCACAACTATACACACCTTCCCTTCCAAGCACACAGAGCCTAACACGGGGCACACACACCCAGGCCTTCCAGCCCCTTAATACACCTCGTCAACCCTACAGGCACTCCACAGGGACACGGCCACACACTTACATGCCCCAGGAGGTCTCTTTCCATAGTCTGGAGACCCAAAGGGACAGGGCTTCCAGCTCAGAAAGGCCCAGGTCTGGGGGCTGGCAGGCTGGTCTCAGAGGGAGCAGCCCTGGAGGACAAAGTGCCAGGCGAGTGGGGGAGGCCTGCCTTCAGCCCGGGGCTGCCCTCTCTCCCTCTCCAGCTCCCCAACACAGGCTGCCAGGCCACAGCAGGGTGGACAGACCAAGCGCCTCTCACCTTGATGTCAGGGAACTGGCCCAGGTACGTGTCCATGGTCAGCAGCGCCTGGTCCACCAGCTTCTGGTGGTAATCCACCCAGAGCAGGTCATTGTTCTGCAGGAGACGAGAACACAGCAGCGCGCACCAGGGGAGCCGGCCCACAGCCGGTCCAGCTCTCACCTCCCAGGGACCCGGGGGCCAGCTCTGCCCCATCGCTTCACGGCTGGGCGGCTCCTCAGAACCTCAGCCCCCTTATCTATGAAATGGGGTCACACCTCCTGCCTTTTCAAAACGTGACCCTGAGGATCAGATAGGCCCAGGGCTGGTAGGGCCAGGGAGGGAGGCTTCCCGAGCCAGGAGACACAGCGCAGAGAGGAGAGGTGCCTCAGGACCGCATCAGGAAACCCATCTCAGTGCGAGGGCTGTCAGAGAGGGAGGTGGACTTGTCCAAGAGCACACAGCACGTGAGGACCAGAAGGGCTGGTCCCAGAGGGCGCCGCAGGGTGCGACGGGCGGCCAGCTGAGGTCAGAAGGGCCCTTGGGGAAGGGCCCAGGCCACCGGTCCCATACTCACCTCAGCGATCTTGTTCGCTTCATCCCTGCCAGGCCAGTCAGGCTCGTACACCTCCTGCAGACACTCGTTCAGCTTCTTGGAGGCCTCATGCATGGCTGTGGGGCAGAAGGGCCATGCTGCAGCTAGGGCCATGGGGACCCCTGATTGGGGGGGGGTTACCCTTGCCCCACCCTTGAAGTCCCAGGAGGTAGGTGGACATCCCTGACAGCCCTGCTGCCCCTTCCCAGCTCTGCGCCCATCAGCTCCACGTGGGGAGGGCCCCCTCTCTGCGTCCCAGCAAGCCCGCCCATCCAGGCCAGGTCTGCCCCTTACCTTTGACCGAGGCCAGGTAGGTCCGGAGATCCTTCTGCAGCCGGGTGCCCTCGGTCTGCAAAGAAGCAGACGAGAAGAAGGTGAGGGCCTGGGGCACAGCCCACACCTGCCCTCTGCCTCCTGCACCTCACAGACACCTGCCACGGATGGGCTGTCCACGGCAAGGCACTGGGGGCCTACAGGATACCGCACCAGAGCACGGCAGCTATCTCCTCTCTGGCCACTGACACACTGAGCTCCCTCTCGGGAGCCTGTGGCCGAAGGAACATTCACCCAAGGGTGTCAGCACCTTCTCTCTCAGACAGTATTCTCAGCCCTGTAAGGAAGGCAAGAAGACAGAGACCCCTCCACCCTGGACGAGACACTGGAGCACGGCCGAAAGACACACGCACGCACAGCCCAGGTGTAGGATGGGACCAGCGTGTGGCAGGCCTGCCCTCGGGTAACCATGAACCAGGCGACCAACAAGCCCAGGAACACGACCGGGGGTACAGGAACCACCCAGCATCTTGTCCTGAAAGCTTAGGTGGTTGGTACCTGAGGCCAGCGGACTCCCACTGCATCCCACCAGGGTCAGGAGGGTTCTGATGGGGAGAGGAGAGGTCCGGAAGGGGAGGCCTTTGGAAGGAGCGCAGAGAAGTATGGGGGTCATGTCCAGGCCTCTCGGGACACTGGCCCAGCTGAGAGGGAAGATGTAGGAGGAAAGGGTGATGAGGGAGAATGGGCCAGGGAGTGAAGCACCCTGAGCTGGGAGGGCAGCTTCCAGGGCTTCCTGGAACAGCAGGCAGGGCCAGCAGAGAGGGTGGAACCACAGGCACAGCCTCAACTCCCTCTGGCCAGCAGCACCGCAGAAGGCAGGAGCAGGACAGCTGAGCTCCAGGTGCGAGGAGGGGCGAGCAGGCTGAGGCCAGCGGGGAAAGTCTGAGACCACCGCCAGGGAGATGCTGCAGTTTTCAGAAGCCGCGTGGAAAGTGGGAGAAAGCACACAGAGGCTTTGGGGCCGTGAAGACCCAGCTCTGTCCCTTACTAGACACGTAGCCTCTCTGAGCCTCGTTCTCCTTGCCTGCCAACTGGGTCGAACGACCCCAGCCTGGGAGACCACAAGCACATGTGCGTGGAGTGCCTGCAGGGGCGCCTGGCACATCACAGGCCTTCAGGGAAATGGCTTAAGTGACCTGGGCCGGGCCCGAGGTCGTGAAGGCCAGCCTCGGGAAGTGGGCTGTACACTGAGAACAATGATGGGGGACCTAGGGGGACACAGGAGACCGGGGCCTCTGGAGGGCCGTGACGGCAGACCTCCTGGGCTCTCCCTACCCTGACACCAGCCTACGCCTCAGTGACACCTTGTTTTGAAGTCCCTCCCCCTGGTGGAGGGTTAGATAGATGACAGCATCGAGCCACAGTCCCAGGAGACCTGAGTCCCTACAGAGCTCCACCCGGCCAGCCTGGAGCTCCCGCAGGAGACGGAAGGTGGTGGTCCACCCCCGCAGGTCAAGGCTCCAGCCGAGGGCAGGCAGGGACCCAGCCCCCCTGCACAGGCTCACCCCCAGAACCCTCAAACCTCTCCTATCCCCCTGCAAACAGGCCCCCCTCTTTACAGCCAGAGCCCTTTCCTCCTGCCTGGTGTCCTCAGAGCTCCGGGCAGCAGCTCCTCACTGGGGCCGGCACTTTCCACACACCAGCTCTCAACACCACGGTTTCCACCTAATGAAGAGGAAACTGAGAGGTTGCATGACTTGCCCAGGGTCACACAGGCACTGGGAGAGCCGGCGAGAACCTCCAGTACCTGGCCACTCAGGCCCCAGTCTGCCGAATGGGTCACGAAGGGGCCGGAACAGGCAGCTGCCTGTTCGTTAAGACGAACGCCTCCGTGGGACAGCAGAGACACTGTGCGAGGAGGGCTTCAGCACATCGCATTTCAAAGAAGGAAACCCCGGCCACATATCATTCTTAGGAACATCCAAGTTTGAGGTGTGTGCTGATTAAAGTACGAAACAAAAGGCCAATCCACAAGCATTCAGACCTCTCTGGAATTCCCTCAGGGATCGCATGTGGACCCCGTGGGACGGGGGAACCAGGAAGGGTCCACCCCATTCCTGACGCCGCCTTGATACACCCGCCCCCAGTCTTCACAACTCAGTGCTGTGGTGGTAGAGATGAAGACGAGTATGTTTGTGATGTGATGTTATCGTGTTCATCTGATGTCACAGAACCTTCCAGACCCAGCTTAGCCTCCTTCACCACGCTCCCCTCCCCAGAGTCCCCCAGCGTCTGTCTCCAATGCACCCTGAGAAAGGGGTCGCCCATGGCGGGGGGGGGGGTTGCCACGCTTGCCCAGGCTTCAGGCCGTACCAGGGCCCCTTGTGCTTCCCAAACAAGGCCACGCTGTGAGCAGGCACGCTGGGTACAGATGTGCAAGGCCCGCCCTGTGCCAACTGCAGCTGGGCCCAGGGTCGACGCCCCCCACCCCGGGGGCCCCCAGCCAGCTGTCTCCTCAGGCGGGCGCCCAAGCCACCTCCCCTCCACGCTGGCTCTGACAAACAGCTCGGGGGAGGCTCCTGGGCGCTAACAAATGCCCTGCAGAGCAGCTGGGGAAGGATAAAGTCCTGGAGCCCCTGCCCCTCAGCCTGCTCTCCTGGCTCCCGACTTGGGAGTCTCGGAAGGGCACCACAGCCTGGGACCGACGGCAGGTGCGGCTCCATGGGGCGGCCAGCAGGCAGCCCATGTCCCCCGAACCTCCCTCCAGAGGCTCCCCCTGCCTCCCTGACGTCAGCCCCCATCTTCCCAGGGAATCCAGGGGGCAGGGAAGTCCTCCCCCGCATGGACCTCTCTGGCTCCAGCTGACTCTTGCCCCTCTGCGATCAATGCCACAGGAGCTTCAAACGACAGACAGCCAGCAATGCCCCCTTGGAGCAGAGGCCTGGGTGGATCCTGGGGGATGAGAAGGAATCAGACCTGCCCCACCTCAGTGACAGATACACAGCAACGATGAGCCCTGGGGAGCAAGGTCCAGATGGCTCCCAGGATGAAGAGCTTGGGCCACCTGGAGGACCCAGGATGGCTTCCGGGAGGGCCTGAGCTGGGTTTGAAGCACTCAGGTGGGCGGGAGTGTGAGTGGGCCCTCCAGGGTTTCACAGTGCAGGGACGGGACGCAGGGGCAGGGATGTCGCAACTAACACTGAGCGGGCCCAGAGGAGCTATGTAAACTGGGTCCCTGTGAGAGCAGGTGACAGCAAGGTGACCGACACCCTCTCCTAGGACCCACCCCCATAGGAAGGGGTGGGAGATTCACTTCCTTGAAGCCCAAACTCCCTGCCATCCTGAACTCAGCTAGGGCTGGCCCACCAGGCCTGGTGTTCCCAGGTGAAAAGCAGGGTTCCCCGTGCTCAAGCGTCACCTGGCCTTTCCCAAGCCGCCCGTCCCCGCCCCCCGCCAAGCCCTGCAGCTCCCCTGAGAATAGTGACCCTCATACCTTTGTAAATCCTGAACCCCACCCCCAGGTCCTAGTCATCTCCACACACCCATCAAATCCAGAACTGCCCAGCTGCCCTAACTCCTAAGGGAGGGTTACCCCGAGCCTCAAACGAGACCTTCAATTTGCCCACCCTGCTTCCACCCTTGGCCCCTGAGAAGCCGACCACCCCACCCAGCCTGAGGGCAGAGCACCAGCTCAAATGACCGCCCATGTCCACAGCCAGGGAGCCACCAGCACTGGCTATCTTTAGCCCTGGCCTCACTCCCCAGCCCCTCTGGGCAAAGATCAGTGGGTGACTCCTTGCCCAGAGCCAGCGACCCAGAGGGAACTTCAGGGTTCTTGTCCAAACCTCTACTTTGCAAGTGAGAAACGTGAGGCCCAAGGGGCAAGGGCTCACGCACAGCCACACAGCCAGCAGGTGTCTCTGTTCTGGGCCTTGAAACGTTCCTGGCCTGGGGGACAAGCAGCCATGGGGGCTCCCAGCCCTGTTCTGGGGAACCCCTCAGTTCAGCTTCTCTGGCAGGTGAGGGTAGACTTGGTCCTGGGCCCTTTCCCAGCTGGCACCCCGGCCCTCTCCCAGCAGGCTCCCCGGCCCTCTCCCAGCTCCTCCCCTGCCCTCTCCCAGCATGCACCCCTGCCCTCTCCCAGCTGTTCCCCTGCCCTCTCCCAGCATGCTCCCGGCCCTCTCCCAACATGCTCCCGGCCCTCTCCCAGCATGCACCCCTACCCTCTTTCAGCTGCTCCCCTGCCCTCTCCCAGCATGCACCCCTGCCCTCTCCCAGCATGCTCTTTGGCCCTCTCCCAGCATGCACCCCTGCCCTCTCCCAGCATGCTCTTCGGCCCTCTCCCAGCTGCTCCCAGCCCCTGGCCAGCGGGCTGTCAGAGTTTTCCAAAGGAGGCCTCTTCCGCCAGAGGTTCCATTCCAGCCGCAGAGGCTGTGGTGGGTACCTTCCGTGCTTTCTGAGGCGTCAGGTGTGGACAAGCAGGAAGAGGCCTGGGCCCTCCCAGCCCCTGTCTAGGCCCACCTGGTCCCTTTCCTAGCAGAGCTGAGACCCTGACCTCACTCCCCACAGCCATGCCCATTCCTGTGGCCTCCTCTGGCCCCCATCCCCATCTGTCACTCACTGGGGCTGGTCTGCAGAAGCCACAGAGCCGTGGCCCAGCTCTCTCTCCCTGCCTCCTTGGCCCTGCCCAGTGAGGGGACACTTGCCAGGGTCGTTTCATTCCCCTCTTCTACTACACTCAGACACAGCCACCAAAGTAGCTTATTCTAGACTTAGCAGACCTGAGCGGGGAGGTCTCAGGTACAACCCAGTCAGGGTATTTAGAGCCCTTTGGTCAGGAAGTCCTCCCTTGGATCTAACCACTGCCCCCAGGCTGCCAACATAATTAAGGCCCTCCTGTCACCGGCCCCTGGCCTGTAAAAGGAATTGCTAAGGATGCCCTTCAAGTCCCTTGCAGTTTTTGGAATCAGACAAGTATGGGTCTGAATCCACTCCCAAAGCTGGATGGCCTTGGGCAAATCACCCAACTTCTCTGAGCCTCAACTGCTTCATCTGTGAAAGGGGCACAGTGACACCAGCTGCCTTACAGGGTTGTTACAGGCACCCACAAGCCATCTACAAGTGGCCAGGCCTGGAGCTCGCCACTCAGCCAGGCACGGTCGACACTTTGATCGAGGCGCCCAAATCAAAGCCAGTCCGCTCTGCTCCCGCCTTAAACCCTGCAGCTACCACTCTCCTCACAAGAAGCTTCTAGACACCCCACTTGCCTTGACATTCAAGGCTTCCCAGAGCCTGGGCACAATCTAACGCCAGCTCCCACCCCAACCTGAAGTGTTACCAAGAACCTAAGGTATACCCCTGCCCCTCCTTCCTCTCCCCCACGGTCCACACCCAGGGCCGATGCTCCCTCTTCCAAGAAGTCTTCCGTGACCTCGCCAGCCCACGCTGACGCTCTTCTCAAGTTCCCCTAGCCCACAAATTCAGCTCTTGACATTTTCCACCTGGCAGCCGCAGTTCCATTTTCACAAGCTCCCTGAGGCCAAGGGCCACCCACACTCACCAGCTGCTTGTTGAAATTCTGGACGCACTGTTCAAACTGCTCATCCTTTGTCTCATCCGCCTTCCCCAGTTTCTGGAGGACCTGCCAAGGCAGAGGGGGAAAGAAAGTGTGTTACTCTGAGAAGGGAAGTTGCCAAAGCAAGAGGGCCCTGTCGCCGATACCGCAGGCCCTCCCCACCCCAGCCAGGGTCGGGTCTGGGAGGCCCATGGCCAATATCCCCCAGCCCAGGGCACCGGGACCATCAGAGGCCTTGTGGCTGCTGGGACCCCCAAGGGCAGGACTGAGACCCTCTTCATCCTCTACACAGGGCTCACCCATCAGTCAAGAGGAGGAACTTGGGACAGACTTGCTGTAGTAACCGAAACAGCAGTATGAGGGGTCGGGCGCCCCTCCTAGCTGACCTTACACTGCACCCCTGGGTGCTCCCCCCCAACCCTGGCAGCTGAACATGAGGGGGCCAGTAGGGGCAGCCCCACCTCCCCACATGACTCCTTTTCCTGGGCCCAAGGCTCATAAATACCAGACGGAGGGGCAGGGAGGTGACCGCCCCAGGACCAGGAGGGCAGGGAGGGTGGCTGGGCGTCAGGCTCTTGCAGTCCCTGGGAGTCAGCTCCCAATCTGACCAGAGTTTCAGTTGTGACCCATTCTAGCCCATATCTAGACTCCCTCCCACCCCTGGCACTCACACTGGCACACGTGCATTCACACACACAGGCACACAAGTGCACACACACGTGGGCTCACGGCCACACACTCTACTCCCCAAATCCCAGAGGCAGACTCGCCCCTCTGTGAGTCACAGCTGTCCCTTCTCAGCTGTGTCAGCAGAGAGGGCATTGAGGACACAGATGGGGAGGTGGGTGGGTAAAGGCAGAGAGAGAGAGAGAGAGAGAGAGACCCAAGGCCGAGAGAGGGGGGAAAGATCTAGAAAAAGAGGGAGCCGGACCAGGAGCCTGAGAGGAAGCCCTGGCCCACGAGGTTCTCCCAGACTCCCCTCTCCCAGCTTCTGTCCCTCCAATCCCAGAGTTCTCTATGAGCAGAGAGAGAGAGCGACAATGAAGAAGCAAGGAAGGGTGAGGGCAATGGGAAGACAGCAGAGAAAAACATGAGATGGGGGTACAGGAAGGGGCTACTGAGGGAGACAGGAGGTGGGGTGTGCAGGGGTAGAGGGAGGCAAAGACGCCCCTCCACAGGCCTGGGCAGGCAAGCAAAAAGGACAACACCGCGATGATGGTCGGAAGAGACGGCGGCCAAGACCCAACAGGAATAACAAGTAAGCAGGTGGTAGTGGGTGAGGGTGGCAGGTGGAGGAGACAAACAGGTGGGCCCCTGGCAGGGATGAGTACCAGATGGGGCTGGAATGCCAGGCCAGGGTCCTAGACCGAGGGATGCCCAGTCCCAGAACACAGCCTGGACCCCTCCCACCCCTGACTGACCCTAGGATGGCCTGTGCTGCCCCGCTCCCCCTCCCCCAGCTGCCCAGGAGCCAGGGCGAGGCCAGTCAGCTCTCAGACCCTCTCTCTCATCATGCAATGCATTCGGCCATCTCTTGCCAAACGCCCGCTCTGTGCCCAGCCCTGTTCATCTCTGCTGGGTCAGCAAATCATTCAGACGTGTGCCCAGTCCCAAGAGAGAGGGAGGTATATGAGTCTGCGGGAGCCCAGGTTGGAGATCCTATCCAGTCCGGGCAATCAAGGAAGACTTCCAGGGGGAAGGGGCAGCTCAGAAGGAGGGGAGAGCTTGCAGCAAAGGCGAGGAGGACCAGAAAGATGAGGTCCGTTACCAGGGAATTTCAAGTCGCTCAAGATGACTAAAGGTCGCAAAGGATGGAGAGGAAAGGTGAGAGTGGCGGGTGCGGGGGCAGCGGCGCACACTGGGGAGCAGCCCGCCAACAACTTTGTGCTACAACAGTCAGGACAGTCCATGGGCGAAGTGCAGCTGGATGCCAAGGGCCGACAAGGGACTGAGAGGAGAAAAGCAAAACCACGAGCAGGAAAACAGGCACTTGGGAATTCCCTGGCAGTCCCGTGGTTAAGACTCTGCGCTTCCAATGCATGGCGGGAGCGCAGGTTCGATCCCTGGTCAGGGAACTAAGATCCCACATGCCGCACAGTGTGGCCAAGAAAAGATTTTTAAAAAGAAGAAAGTAAAAGAAAGAAAACGGGCACTTCCCTCAATCCACAGGCTCCCCATTCCCCTGGCAGCCACATCCGGCTGGCCCCATGGGAACAGGGTGGAGCTGTGGGGATGCCCAGCCCACTCGACACTGAGCACAGGTAGGCGACTCACCCCATCAACGCCCACCCCACAGCCCCGCCACCTCCAGAGAAAGAAATGGACCACCAGGTGGGAAAGAACCTGCAGAAGTCAGCAGGGGCCACTGGAGCAAACCGTCAGGCAGGAGAACTGGAAAGTGAGCCTGTCCACCCCCTGCCTCTCCTTCTCCCTGAGGAGATGCCCTCCATCAGTGGAGTCACCAGTGCCCGCCCGGCTATCAGGGCTCCTGAGAAGGCCAAGGCCCCGATGTACACACAGACATGTACACCTGGTCCCAGGCATCCAACACAGCTGTGGGTTTCCCCCAGCCAGCGGAAGCCACCAGAGAGAGCTTCAGGCCTCGAGAAAGAGGCCAGCCATGGTGAGACTACACCAGGTGGTGAGAAGAACCCTGAGAAAAGGGACTCTGACCACGTCTCTCAACCTCAAGTGCCTTGTCGGAAAATAAAAAGGACGTTAGCGGGCTTCCCTGGTGGCGCTGTTGTTAAGAATCCATCTGCCAATGCAGGGGACATGGGTTCGAGCCCTGGTCCGGGAAGATCCCACATGCCGCGGAGCAACTAAGCCCGTGTGCCACAACTACTGAGCCTGCGCTCTAGAGTCCGCGAGCCGCAACTACTAAGCCTGCGTGCCACAACTACTGAAGCCCGCGCACCTAGAGCCCGTGCTTCGCAACAAAAGAAGTCACCGCAATGAGAAGCCTGCGCACCTCAACGAAGAGTAGTCCCTGCTCGCCACAACTAGAGAAAGCCCGTGCACAGCAACAAAGACCCAATGCAACCAAGTAATTAATTAATTTTTTTTTTAATAAAGGACATTAGCGCCCACCTTAAGGCTCATGTCTGTAAAACATCTCTGTACCTGGCCCATAGTAGGTACCCAAGTACAGGTGATCCCCTAAAAGACTTTCAGAACAGCCTTCACACAGTTGATGGCTGGACCCGACACAAACCCACCCTCCCAGTCCAGACAGATGGCATCCCAAGATGTCAGACAGAAGTCACGTGCACACACTCTGTACCTGAACGCAAGGGCATGCATGTGCACACAGCAGACTCCTATTCATCCTCCAAAACCTTGCTCAGGCGACACCTCCTCTGTGAAGCTGCCCCTGCCCTTTCCCTCCTCCACCCCACTCTGTACCACTTAGGGCCTGTACCAACTCTCCTCATTGCCTGAGTGTCTGCCTCTGGCCTTGCCCAAGCCTGCACAGCCTGAGATCGAGGACAGTGTCCAGCCCTCTCTGTGTCCCCAGCTCCGTTACAGGGCTGGGCACAGGGTCGACACAAAACTCGTTCTCATCTGAGCTTTGAACTTTGAGATCAGAGTCTTGAACTTGAACAAAACAGTCCACTTCTCAGTTTCCTGTTATGCAAAATGAGAGGGTCGTGTATGGAAAGTCCTCAGCCTGACACGCAGAGAGCTCACCACGAAGGTGGCTGTTAGGATCAGGGTGAGATCTGGCATTCACACGAATTTGAGGCCTGGTCTCGGGTAACGTGTGTTGGCTCCAGTGGGTCCCAGCCCTGCAAAGTCAGTGTGGAGGGCGGTGACCAGCACGGCTCCATGTGACCTCAGGCTAACTGCTTAACTCGCTCCACCTCAGTGCCTGCCTCTGGCACGGGAGTAACTGTACCCACGGCACCATCGAGGCTCAGGGCGTCGCCCAGTGAGTGTGTGCTGGCCTTGGCCTTGGCGTTTATTGCTCACTGTACCCATCCCGCTTTACAGACAAGGGGAGGAGGGCACACAGCCTGGGTCCTCGTCCTCAGGGGGAGCTCCCAGTGTGGCTACTGGGGGAAAAACAAGCTGGGCACCACCTGCCCCAGGCCAGGGACCAGGACAAAATTTGTCGCAGTAAAGCTCCACAGCACCGATGGCTACCTGTCTGCCACCCTCCATAGCTGGGCCTCCTGCCACGCCCCAGACACTGGGGAAGAGGCCTTTCTGACCAGCCTCTGGGGTGCCCAGACTGCACCCGATCACCCTGCCACCTAAAAGCCGCTGGGCCATGCCCGATCTGTCCCCACCCCCACAGAGGCCCCAGGGTGGCTCTGTCCAGCCCTCACATACACAAGCTCACAGCCGTCTCCTCGCCGAGAGCGGAGCCCCAGACTCTCCTGTGTCACGCTAAGCACACGCTCATCACGCATGTCTCCCCTGTCATAAACAAAGGGGAGCCTTTTGGACGATGCGACAGATGACACCAAGGTCGCAGTTGCTCAGCCCAAGCCCAGCGGTCCAGGAAGCCTTATCGGTGCCACGCCGTCTGCTCTCACCACATCCTCAGTGCAGCTAGATAGCAGAGGGTATGGAGAGCCTCGGAAGGACCAGCCCCGGGCAGTGCAGAGAAAGGGGAGCTGGTGGCAGAACGAACCTCCCCGACAGCGTCCATGGGTCAGCCTGTCCGGGCTGGGCTGTGACCCAGGGCCAGGGCCCCCTCCCTGGGTGGGGCAGGAGGCTCACAGGACACGGCTGAGTGCCTCTAAGTGCCAGGGCTCAGCGACAGCTTCCTGTGGCCGGGGTGCTGCAGGGGGAGGGGGGCGCCCCTTCCCCAGCCCCTCTCACGGCCCAGAGGCCTCGTCCGGGCCATCTTGCCAGACCACCTCCTCTCCTCCTGGATGGCCAGTGGCCCCAGGGGACAGACCAGCTGTGCCACACACCCGGCCACCAAACCCAGAAGAACAGAAAGGGCACCCGGGGCCAGTCTCGTTCGAACTAGGGACCAATTATCGCTCACTGCCCACCGAGCACAGCACCTTACAGACACCACGGGCCCCCTCCTCACAGGTAAGTGTCCTTGG